AAATTATTATAGGCGTCTCTTTTGTCAAAAGAAGCCAAATACAGACAGGCGAATTCGTGGTTTTCTTTTCGATACTCCCGCCCATTGCCATTCATTATGATTATAACCCATACCCATTCCCAATCCCATCTTATTCTTATGTTAACTTGTGATGTGAACTGTTGCGTAATCCATACGACGTGTCCATTTCCATCAATATTTCTAATTTTTAATTACTCTCCCTTTTTTGTTTTTGGCGTTTAGGCTGAGCCCCTACAACTCAACACACATGTCATGCTCTTCCTCCAGACTCAATTATTTCTGTTTTATTCTCTTCTTTAATTTGCGTCCGCGTCTGCGTTGGCGTTTATTCATGGCGCGTAATTGTTTATTATCAACCAAACCGGTAAAAAGAAAAAAGGGAGGGGTCCAGGTTCGAGGAACTTCACGCATGCGGTTACGTGCACGTGAACATCACGTGATCCCCCTTCACAAGGAAACTGAGACTTTTGGATTCAAGGAAAGATGAAATGTATTGTTTTCTTTTGGGTGGCTGCTAATTTTGTAGATGCCAATGGAGGGAGGGATGGCGTTTTCCAGAAATTGGTCCCATCCGACAAATATCAAACTTTACGTTTCTTCCACGAACATATTATTTATTTATTATTTAGCCCTTCCCATTAATCCCCTCCCTTTCACTTCCAACTGGTCAACAAATAAATTATTCCCACCCTAATTAAATTAAATTACTTTTCTGCATTAAAAGTATTGCTACCTTCCGTAATTAATTCTTGCCGTTTCAGCAAAATATGCATACATCTCTTTTCACAAAACTTATTTTATCAACGCAACAAACAAAACCATTCAAAACTTCAATCGATTCCATTTCTTGTTTAAAAAATTATTGTCCCTACTTGTTTGTTTTGTACAATAGTACAAGTATAGAAAAGAAATGTTTGGATCTCGATGGGGACCAACTACACTCTGCCCATTAAATTATCACTACCTAGTGGATATTTATTTTCTGTTCAAAATCATTATTAGAAAAAGTCAATTAGAAAAATATGGAGTAGGAGGGTAAGAAAACGGAACAAGTTTATAATTATTGTGATTAAGAGGATTTGATGGTGAGATATTGATGAGATGGGGAGGGGGAAGTGGCAGCGGCAATAATGGGAGGCATAGTTTTGGGTAACAATAAATAATGCTCATACGAAACCTACCCGCTTTTGTAATTGTTTTGTATTACTACTATTATTATATTACTAATAATAATAATAATAAAAAGAAAAAAGAGGGCTGCTGAAAATAAAATTGTTGAGTAGTCAGAGTCACGCAAACTAAATGAATTTTGGACTATTTGTATGTATAACCAATTACCCAAAAAACAGGGTGGGGACAGCATTTAATTGAAGGAGCCAGCCTCAGCCTCAGCCTCAGCCACAGCCACAGCCACAGCCAGTGGTGCCATTAATAAGATTTTGTTCATCTCTATGGACAATGGACAATGGGCAATGGACAATTTAGCCCCTTTCTCTCTCTTTCTTTATTGTTTTTTTTAGGCTGTGGGTCCCTCCCATCTGTCCCTTTATGACCGGCATACCCCTCCATTGCCCGTGAATCTCATTCCCCCTTTTCATACTTTCTTCCCTATTATTATTATTATTAGTTTTTATATATTTATTATATTCCTTCAACCAACCAGAAAAAAAAAAATTATTTTATTGCTGCCCTGCCCGTTTTGATTTTCTATGAGGAACTTTTTTACTTCCCAATTACATTATCATTATTATTAAAGAGAAAAAAGAAGAAATAAAAGCAAAAGGGTTATTGTTTTGTTGTGTTCTCTACCTAGGAATCTAAAGCCTGACATTTTACCCAAAATAATATTATATTTAAAAAATCAAACTTATCCCTTTTGGATGAGTGAGTTGTCAGACTCACCCTATTCCTATTCCAAATCCTTTCTCTTTTGCTTCCTTTTCAATGCTACAAAACATCGCCCTCTTTCCTACTTTACACGATTCTTAATTTATTGATTGCAATGCAATCACTGTATATACATTTTTTTCTCTTCAAAATTTGATTTTTCCTTTCCCCAAATGCTCCAAAAAAGATTAATAGTTTTCATGTGTTGCTATCAGTGTCAAGTTTTCATTTAGAGGCTGCTCAAGCAAAGTTCAAAGATTAAAAACTGTTTTTGTCTCGGTTTGGTGGCAACCTTTGATTCAAATCAAGTGTTTATGAATTGGTTTTTTTTTTTAATTATAAATATTTGTTTGATTAAAATTATACCATCGTCATTTGGTCATTCCAACATCTAACTTGAAATTTAAAATGAAGACGAATATATTGATTTTTTATAAAAGGTTGATACCATGTACTTTTCTTGAGTTTTGAAAACATAAAAATTGACCAACTATTCGACGTGACTCAATTATATTATTGTTATTGAATAATAGAAACAAATAAATGTAATCCTTTTGTACAAGTTCGAAGAGCATCTATGTCTATCTAAATGTATCGAAGTCCAATCTATAAAAGTCTAATTACTAATTAGGTGAGGTATCAATGGCGGCAAAGTCAGTTGGGAATTGAATGCATCAAATAAATAAATGAATGCTTGTATTTAAAATAATAAATAAAAATGTCAATATCCCACTATGTAAGAGATTAAATAGTACTTTTATTTTTTTTAATTGGGGATTTCTGGTAAGCTAAGCTAGGCGTGGGTTGATTAAATATTTTGGAAAAGGGGCTGTGCTCCAAATCTTTGGTTAATTTAATTAAAATAAAAACAATAATGATGAACCTGTCATAAACATAACCTAACACGACGTTGATTTTCTTTTTTTTTTTTTTAAAGGGGAGAAATTAGAGAATTAAAATTAATTAAAATAGAGAAAGTTGGGATGTGGATTATAGAATAAAAATAATGGGAATGGAGCATCGTTGATGGTGGGGTCAAATCTGACCTTATAATCAAACTTATGCGATTGAGACTATCTAACATGTTTGGATTTTTTCCCTCTAAAAAAATAAACATGATTTGATTCTTAATAAGGAAAGCATCTTTTTTATTTTTTATTTTTTATTTTTTGCGTTTTGACGAATGCCCAATGCATGTGCGTGGTGCATTTGGCATTGGAATCCCCCTCCCTCTTTTTCCCTTTTTTTTTTCTCATTTAAATTATTTTTAAAACAAAAAAGTGTCAGAACCTGTTTGAAAATATACATATTATTAAGAAGTATGATTGTTATTAGAATAACACTATAATTACTACTTTGGAGTAAAAAAAAAAAATATCACATCTCAACTTCTTAAATAATTTCTCTAATTTAATCCTAAATAAACTTCTACTCGAAGTCATGGTAACAAATGAGATGCAAATATAGGAACACCTATTATTTTCATTAACAAATTGACACATCATTAAGTGACATATTATTTTATCGTATAAACTTCATACCATTCTTTAATACGAGTGTGAAAATTTTCGATACTCTTCATTAGTATAAATTATACCTAGAAGGTGAAAAAAAATAGAATATGGATATGGATCCAATGAAAGAGGGTAAAGGGGGCACTCCACTCATGTCATGGCAATGGCCTAAGCTTTTATTTTTCTGTCTTGTTGTACCATCATCTTGCAATTGATTTTGTTTGGTTTTTTTATTTTTTTTTTGCTATCTCAAACATGGGCCCTACCTGAGGCCCATGATATTATGTGTATTTGTGTTATGACATTGTGACTTGGAGAGAATTTTGATATGAAAAGACCCAATTAAATCTCATCTCTTTTGGATGGACCCATTATGGCAGTATTCCCCTCCCTCTCCCCTTTTTTGTTCAATGCCCCATCACTTGCGCTTCTAAATTATTATTATTTGCCCTTTTTCTTACTCCATCTCCTCTCTCACTTTACTATGTAACACAAAAAAAGTTGTTGTTGTGTTGCCTTTTCAGAAAAGCCATGGTGCTCTGGCTATGGCTGTGGGTCTAACTCAATAACAATTCCACAAATCAATCTATTCTTAATCATATCCCACTTTTTTTTTTTTTGATGGATTTGGTTTGGTTTGGACAATACATCATATTATTGCAATTTTGAACCCAACAATAAAACACTCCCACCATCAGTGAACAACACACAAACATGAATTTCTATTTTTCCAAAGTGCAAAATTTCAGTTCCTCCCACTAATGTCAGTGTTTGTACAATCAATTATTTAAGACCAACCCTTCTTTGGGCATTGTGGAATCAAGCCCAACTTCCCCTATCTTTGGTAAAATGATTATGTTCCTTTTTTTTCCCCAACTTTATTGTATTGGTCTATAAAGTCTTTCCAACTATTCTTGCCTATCTACACTAAAGTACTATCAAACCACTACATAAAAAAAGGGAGAAAAGCGTACGAATTGAAGCTTTCCTTTCACTAATGTTAGTTTGGCTAAGCCGAGTCATGACTCGTGAGTAGTGGGTTGACAATTAACTTTGTTTTCTTTATATGTAGCGAATAATTGAATGGGATATTTTTTAAAAAGTAGAGAGTCAAGTGAAATTGAGTATTTTGTTTATGTGAAATTATCAGAGTGAGGGGAAAAGGGAAAAAAAACCAGGATATAATTTTGGACCAAATAAATGATGGTGTATAGTTGTTTGGGTGTAACGTTATAAATATTATTGTCCACCTTTCAGTCATCACGCGGATGTGTCCCCATTTGTTGGTTTGTTGGACCATTCCATTCAACTCTGTCCTATGAATCCAAACCCATAATTTCCTCCTCGTGTCCTAATTCATAATTACCACTCTCACCTCACCATGTGCCACCCAGTGCTGTTAGTAATTTCCTACAAGAGAAGAATGGGAAGAGGAAGAAGATTCACTGTTTTTTTCTTCTTGTCTATTTATTATTTAATCAGATTCGATTTAGCCCTGAAATTGCAATGAATGGTTCCAATTCCGAACAGAAAAAAAAAAAAAAAGAAAAAGAAAAGAGAAGAACAAGGGGGGGATGAAAATGAAAGGTGGGGAAAGGATTGTCAACTTTGGGCATCATTCATCATTATTCCCCATATCCATCTAACTTTACAGCATAACAAATGCAGGGCAGGGTAGTAGTTATTAATGTTGGTACTGCTACCCTATTCTTCTTTTCTCTCTATGGGCCACACAACACAAGAGAGAACAAAACAGGCTACTTTGTTTATTAATCAATACACCATATATGTACAATCCAAGGGCCTGAAATTTGGGATCCACCCCACTACACTGCTCCTGCTCCTCCCCCAGACATCTCAATCTCAATCTAATCATCACCCCACATTTTGATTTGATCTGATCCGAGTTGGGTTTTGTAACACTAATATTTATGCGGTGTCATCTCGAAAACAAACGACAAGAGTAGTGGAATTTCATTTTTGGATTAAGTCATCTGATACCATATTAATATTCATAAGTTTCATCTCAAAATCAATTTGTATTACTAACACTTGTCAACTTTCTTATATTTTTAACATGAGATTCTTACGGGGTCTTAGAAGAGTGATCACACTGATAAAAACTTTTCATGTGCTCATTTAATAAAATGGAGATATATTAGGTTCCCTCTCATTTAATTTAGGTGGTGTTAATGGGACTTTGATTCGTGATCTTGAACTTTCTTACACGTAGGCTCTAAATTTGGACCATCTTTTTTTTTTTTTAATTTTATTTAAGGTGATGTTGAGAATGCTCATCGGAAAAGGCCCTACTTGAGAGTTGAGACATTGATGGTGGAGAATAGAAAAAAAAAGAGTGATAAAATGGGTTTGAATTGATCGATTGATTGGATTGGAGTTGAGCAGAGGTGCAATAGCCGCCACTAGGCACTAACAATGTTTATTGATGGCTCCATTCCGTTGACGCACCCAAATGAATTTGGAAAATTCAACATTGATTTAATGAAATTACTTCAGTCGTGGGTATTGCTTGGCTTCGGATTGCCACTCAAAGATTTGGTCAGGATTTGTTCCGATTATATATTCAAATCTTATCCCCCTTTTGCATAATTCTTTTCAATTTTGGAGCTGTCGTTTTCAACTGCATCTACCCTCGTCCGATGTAGACATTGCAATTTGAGTTGTCGTATCGTACGCACTTCGTTTAGGAATTTGGGCTCGCTTGAGGCCCAGCCAGGTGACGACTGTCATGGGCTCGGGGGAGCCGGAAAATGAAGCCCATTGGGCTACTAAATTATCGTGATACGAGTCCTTTTTGGACCACTCTTCCGGCCCAGTTAGTCTTCGTCTCCTCTCCCGCCCTTTCTCAGTGACTTCTGGTTTTTCATTTAGGTTTAGCTGCTTCTAATTGTGTCACGATTTGGGAGTCATTTCTCCCGCGTACAGGTACAACTTCCAGAGCTCGAAACTAGGTATCCACCACGGTGATGGAGGAGAATGGCTACGTGGATGTTGAGCAACAGCAAGGGAAAAAGAAGCATAAGGGCAAGCACGACAAGCCGAAGCCATGGGATGAAGATCCTAATATTGACCGCTGGAAAGTCGACAAGTTTGATCCCTCCTGGAATGAAGGTGGCATGCTCGAAGTCAGCTCCTTCTCTACTCTGTTTCCCGAGTACAGAGGCAAGGAATTTCGACGTTCTTCTTTTCAATTTTACTCTCTTGCTATTACGAACAAGTAGGTTGGAATGAATAGAGTATGTGTTGCTTAGATGGCACCTCGAGGTCCAAATTGATCTTTAGATTGTTAGCGCGACGCACTTTATTTAATTCAGTTTTGGTTCGCGGACAACGTTGTGAAACAGTTTCAGATTACTGTGAACATCGAGGTTGTTTGAACTGTTGGTTTCGCCAAGTAGAGTGGCTAATAAGGGGCTATCATTTCATGTTTGGTTTCTTTTAGGCCCACATCCTTTATTCAGCGTTTTAAGAATTAGTTCGATTTCTACCCGGTTACACTATTGCGGTCGAGATGGTTTGGTATGGTTTCGAGGGAGCCAAGAAAGTTTTTTCCTTAGTTCCGCTACCTATTTTGTCAATGTTTTTCCTGAAAATATTTTGGTGGCAACAGAATAGCATGGTTTCGGTCTTGAAATCTATGAATTTGGCTATCTTTATCGGTGGGAAATGTATAGTTAATTTTGTCTTTTCTGATAAGTTTGATTTTACTTCCATCTACGGATCTGTCTGTCTCTCAATATATATTTTGATTGACTGTGCACAACAATCAGATTCAAATTTTTAAGGATTTCCATTTTTCAATTTTTCAGAAAAGTATTTGCAAGAAGCATGGCCGATTGTTAAGTCTGCGTTGAAAGAGTTTCGTGTTGCCTGTGAGCTGAATCTGGTAAGAGTCCTTAAACCTCTGATAGAGAAATGAAAGAGTCCATAACTCTGATGTTGGATGATTTGGTCAGCTGTGAGGTAGTCATTCTTTTTTGCTGGTAGTCTTCCTGCATGTGCTTGTAAGCAGTTAGTCTGTAGCTGTCAGTTAACATGTTAGAGCTAGCATTTCCCATAGACAAGATTTTCTTTCATGCATTTACATTAAATATTTCTGGATAGAAACACCCAAGTTAGAATTAAAAATGAAGAATCAAGATTTCTCTGATATGATTTACTCTTCCTATATTTTAAAGCCGAAGTGAATCCTTTAGATCAAGATTTGGTTATTTTTGGAGGGTTAAATTTATCTATGTCTCGTTTATACAGTTTCCTTTTCCTTTCTGCTAATAGTAATGACTTAATCCCACCAACTTGAGGTGTAAGCATAACTTAATCTAAAGAATTTCATCTTCATATACTTTTCCGCCTGTATTCTTCTTACTTCCCAAGCTTAAGTTTTAATTTTAACCTTACTAAAATCAGATTTTATGGTGCCAATGTACTCCTAATTTTTGATATGGTCCAATTTTGAATGATAATAGGTTCTAGGGTTTTGCAACACTTTTAATTTTTTTTTGAATAAGATATGAAATTTTCATTGATAAATGAAAATAACAGGAATGTTCAAAGACACAAACCCCTAAAGGAGTGTGAAAAAGAAAAACCATAAAGCGAAGAAGTAATAAAAGCTTCTAATTCTAGAAGAATAACTTCAAAATAAATCTAAGAAGGAAAACCATTGAGAAGCCTTGAACTTTGCAAGCTCATTACAATCTAGCCAATCCTTGCTCTTGTTGCAACACTGATCCAGAACTATCCTTTCTATAAAATGTAGAATGTTTACTTAGTAAAATTAGAGATGTATAAAGATGCAAGACTCTACAGCATTTGTGTGATGTTTGCTGTAGTTGAGTTATATATACTATTTAATCCAGAACTATCCCTTGGGCGTTGGCCACTGCTGAGTGTTGCTGTGATTCATATTTGTTCTTTGTCTTTCAGATTCTGAATATTACCAAAACCTCTATTTCTTGGTAGTCTAATCGTATGCATTAAATGTGTTTGTGCTAAACCATAGTTTGCATTTGTCTCCCCCCCACCCACCCACATGATATCTAGGCATTCAAACCACCCTTTATGGGAGTGTGAGATAAGGAGGTTCATTGATTGTGATTGACAGTTTACACTGTTTGGATTTTGATTATGCTATTTGAGATGCTTTGAAACAATTTGTTGCTTGCTGCATGTGTTTTAATCTACTATGGTTGGCCAGGTTGAAGGATCAATGACGGTTTCAACAACCAGGAAGACTAGGGATCCATATATTATTGTCAAGGCAAGGGATCTTATCAAACTCTTGTCAAGAAGCGTACCTGCTCCTCAGGTATAACAATAATTTGATTCATTTTATGGTATTTCTCTATTGATGTAGTCGTTTGAGACTTTCTTTCACATATATTGTTATTTTGTAGTAAGTTGTTTGGTCATGTTTTGTATTCCATTTTGTTGTGTCAGGCAATTAAAATACTGGACGATGAAATGCAATGTGATATCATTAAGATTGGGAATTTGGTAGGCAAGAAGGTAAGTGTCATTTACAACATGTTTTAGTTATTATAGACTGGTTTTGAGCTCTAATTCTATGAAGACATTTGTTTAAGAAATTTTCATAGTTATCATCCTTTAATCTTCTTGAAATTGGACGACTACGGTCTAAGGTACACAGTCCATATATAGTTTTTTATTCTTTGATCACTAGAACATGCAACTTGAAGTTGAAAATTGGTTAGAGGTTAAGTTTCTTGGTTTTTTTTTTGTGTAATCATAATGTTGGTAATCAAACATTAGATGGAATACCATATCCCATAGCATATTTTTTGATTTTTTTGATGCCATGATTAAGTTTATAAGTATTTCTTGCATCATAATTATTTATTATGTTTATGAGTTTCTTTTATTTGCAAGAAGGTATAGGGTTATGGATGTGTTCCTCATGCTTTATCTGCTCTATATCAATCTTGAAATTTGACTTTGGCCTGACCTCTATTATAATGCAGGATCGAATGGTTAAAAGAAGGCAACATCTTGTGGGCCCAAATTCATCAACTTTAAAGGTTCATATAGCTGTATAGTTAAATGATTTCCAGCCTTACTAAATTTCTCCTGCTTTAATAAAGAAATCTCACTTCAGCATTCTTAGAGAGGGGCAATTGTGTTTATCTTGAAAAGTCCATGCTCTATTTCTTCTCTCTTATTTTTTAATTGTTATTGTAGCACAGGCGCTTGAAATATTGACAGGATGCTATATTCTTGTTCAGGTGCGTATATATATTTTTGCTTGTTACCTACTTCATCTCTTTCAGTCTTTCCTCTTCTGTAGTGCCAATTTGTTCCCGACAGGGCAATACAGTTGCTGCAATGGGTTCATTCAAAGGTTTAAAGCAAGTCAGGAGGATAGTGGAAGACTGTATGCTGAATAAAATGCATCCTGTATACAATATTAAGGTTTCTGGGTTTAATTTTGTAAAGTGTTTTATGTTACTCCACAACAGTTCTCTGCCTAACTTGCAATCTCTGCAGATTCTCATGATGAAGAAAGAGCTTGCTAATGATCCAGCACTCGCAAATGAAAATTGGGATAGGTTTCTTCCAAAATTCAAGAGGTATTCCATTTAGACATGAACTTGTTTGCCGATTTTCTTGTGCTAGGATCATGTATATATTCTTACGTAACCATCTTCTTTGTCAGGAAAACTGTTAAACAAAAGAAGGCCAAGAGTAAAGAGAAGAAGCCGTATACACCTTTTCCTCCTCCTCAGCAACCTAGCAAGGTGCGATAGCTGCCTTTCACTCCTAGAGGCGCAGCATTTGTTTACTTATATTTTTAAGAGGGAATTATGGAAATAGCATAATAATATGGTACATAATACTATAATAGTTTATAGTAGTCTATTCTCAAAATTACAATAATAACAAAAATGTAGAAAAGAAACAGGCCACAACATATTGGATGCCATATTTAAACCATATTCTATGTGGAGATTATAGGGGGGATTAAACATAGACATTTTCAAATTCTTCTTTTCTAGATTTCTTCATTTCAATAAATTTTTTTTTTCAATACCATGCATTTACAGATTGATATACAATTGGAAACTGGAGAATACTTTTTAAGTGACAAAAAGAAGTCAGCAAAGAAATGGCAGGAGAAGCAGGAGAAGCAGGCAGAAAAAACTGCTGAGAACAAGAGAAAAAGAGAAGCTGCCTTTGTTCCTCCTAAGGTCGTATATTGGAGCTCCTTGATTCAGCTTCTCCAATCTTTTAAAAATTTTCGTTTTTTCTACTAGTATACGTCCTCTAATGCTTTCAGTGATATTGGTTGTATCCATTCAGGAGCCTCCGAAGCAGGATACCAAATCTGATGGGGATAACAACGATATAGCCACAATGGCAAAGGCCCTGAAGGTATTACGAGTCATATGCTTTCTCTGCGTTTTGTGTGTATACAAATATTAGCCATGGATACTCCAAGAAGATTTTTCAACTGGAAATGGCCGCCCAAGCCATTTTTTTGAGAATGTGGTTTGTGACTGGTGATGGTGTTGCTTTGCAGGAAAAGGCGAAGGCATTAGGGAAACGAAAAGCTGCGGAAACTATCAATGCGGAATCTTATATTGCCTCATCTAGCAATCAGCCGCATTTCAAAAAGAAATCCAAGACTTAATCGATCGTAGAAGTTAGCAAGTACATTGTGAGGGGCACTTCATCCCTTGTGGACGGGAGCCCCTAATTTTTCTAAAATTACGAAAGCTTCAAGTTTTGTGTATGACTTCATATTTGTTAGATCTCGGATCACAGATTAGTATTGATGAGAAAAGCTGGAGCCCTATCATTTACCGTGTCTCGTCCTTTTTCCAGTTTTCTTTTGATTTTCCTTTTGTAGGTTTCTGAGTTCATTGCTAATTTGCTAGACAGCTCTCTTCGCCCTCTAAATGAGATGAGCCATGAACTTTAGGCAGGATATGAACTTGTCACTTGAGTTCTGTTCTCCGATACTATAAAATGATGATTCAACGGTGTAGTCTCTAAGGCTCCATTGGATAATGGTCTTGTTTTTGAAAATTACAAATTTCTAGGATGTGTTGTTCACGCTTCTCATATACACATTTGAATTCTTGACAAAGTTTCTAATTAAAAAATAGTAATTATTTAGGCTAAGCAAGAAAGTAAAATGAGGTTACCTTGGAATATTCATTCCAATATACATTCAGTTTTGAGGGAGACGCGTGTACAAGTTTTATAAGACGTTATGTCAGCTGCTATCATATTTTGGAAGACGATGTTGAATGTAGCAGTTTAAAATGTGATTAAAATCGATGATGACCTAAGGAGATTAGATTGATGAATGTTGATTTATAATTATATTGCATGACAATTTAATATTGTTGTTTCCGAGGCAATATTTTCCCACCCGCAACACTCGTCAAATTTCCTTTAATTGAAAATATTTTGACTTCTAGAAGATATTTTCAGTACAAACCTTATTTTGGTTCCACAATTTTTATTAGTTTATAAATTTTTAAACACTTGATTTTCATTCTCGACTTTTACATAAAATTGTTTTAATTTTGACTATTGATTTTTTTAAATAATTTTGTTCATTACTTAATGAATGGTTGTTTATAAAATTGTTTGAGTAGTGAAAACTACATGTATTAGATTAAGTGGGAGGTTTCCAAATAAATTTGAATTCTTGTTAAATGATTAGTGAAAAAATGAGTTTTTTTTTGTTTGTTTGTTTGTTTTTATAACAAGGAAAAATGAGTGATAGAGATTGGAAATTTAATAATGAAAATAGAATATTGGAAAATGGGTTACCAGTTCCCACCCTGGGAAAGAAAAGGGGAAGTTTAGAATTATGAGGAGATGTGTGGATGAGATTAGGCATAGGGGTTTATCATGTAACAGTAAACATCACATGGTCTGACAAAATACAAAATAGGCTTCCCATAAAGTCAAACTAATTTAATTGACTTCTACCTATTAAATTACAAACCTAAAGTACGACAAAGTCAACACAATTAGAAAAATATATATGAATGAATGAATGAATATCCCCTTCTCTCTCTCTCTCTCTCTCTCTGAAACATGTGGAACGCACAAAAATAAAATAAAATAAAATCTTAATTTTGACTAATCAAAATCTCAAAAACTAAAGCCGTCATGTCACTATTTTATAGGCCAAAGTTGACAAGAAACCATATTATTTTACAAATACACCTTATTCTCAAGTCAAGAGTCACCTGAGAAATGTAATAAACAAATTAAAGGAGTATAAGTTTCCATGGCAACCATCAGCTTTTAAATAAGAGATGACAATTTAGAGATCATAAAAAGAAATTTGAAATTTGAAGTGGGTTTCGTAAGGGAAAGGGAATTAAAGACCGAAGAAACAGAAGCAGCTCAATATAATTAATTTCATTTGCTTCTCAAACTGAAACATCCCACTTTTAGTCGTTAAGTCTAAAAAACAGTTTTTAAAATTTTAAAACTCATATAATAGCTAGATTAGTGATCTATCATACACAAATTCGAAAGCTGAAACTCTAACTTATTAAACATAACAATAAAAGTTAAAAAAACTAAACTTGTAATTCAATATATATTATTGATGGTGGTTGTCTGGTAAAAAAACGATTTCTAATTTTCCTCAAGTACATTTTAACTGTAAAAACTGCCGCCACAATGTTCCAGCACCTTCAAACAATTTCGAAACAAGTAGCTTCAATCTGTAAATGTAATAAACCCGAAAAAGAAATAAAAACCTGAAACTGCAGAGAGAGGAAAAAAAAAAAAGAGCTGATCCAAGAAGTAGTGCTGCAAAAATAACTCATAGTACATTATGGACTATATATATATATATATATAGTACATCTACATATAGGTTACTAATTAATTATAGCACCGAAGACAAAAATGAAGTGGGAAATAAAATCATGGACTGATTCTGATTCTCACCTGGCTAGAATTCTAACATATATATCAGCCAATTATGAGATCAATCCTATAACATGTAAACTGTAAGATCATATCTGTAGCAAGGAAGTGATCTCAACACTAAATATATTATATGCACAACAATCAATCCGCCTATATATATATATATATAATGGAGATCAAAGGAGAGATATTAAAAACCCTGAAATGTGTGGAACCACATAACCCGGAGAGATACAGTGGAAGGAAGATTGAGATGATCAAAAACATCAATTTTTCCAAAGCCAAATTCTTCTTCTTCTTCAGAGTTTGTGTGTTATATATTTACACAAATGTGGGGAATGGTCCTGATCGATGATCTGCTGATCATGAGCTTGTCTACAACATCCCCACCATTGATCTCAGCTCATCCCAATTGCTATTTGTGAAGAAATCATTGACATCAAGCTGATTGGTAACTGGAGGTGAAATAATCCCACTTGAAGAAACTGGAGATGGAGCCACGGAGCAGCAGCTGCTAATATTTGCTTGATGATAATAGTTGTTGTTATAGTTACTGTTCCATTCGTTTGGGTAATTTTGAAGAATTGGCGGCTTCTTCTCCACCTGCTGGTTGTGGATGATCATGGACTCACAGCTGAAATTTATATAACTAATTTCTCCACTCTTTTGATGATCATGATCATGATCAGCCCCCACCAAATTATTGCATATGTTATTATTTGCACTACTCATCATAGGGTTAGTTTTCGTCGTTGTCGTTGTACTCGTGGTCGTCTGTTTGTTCCAACTCGATCCATATCTTCTGCAACTCACATTCCTCTTGAAGATCCGGCACAACGTCCAAATTTCCTTTCAAAATAAAATCCAACAAAACAAAAATTAGTTCAACAGTTAGAGCATTAGTAGCGCATGCATGCAGTTATATTATTATTATTATTATTATTACTATAGTGTAAATATAGTTTTTGTTACCGCTTGTTCAGCAAAGTTTTTGGAGTTGGGCTGCAGTTTTTGGTTTGTGGGATTGGGATTGGGAGGTGGGAGGCGAAATTCGTGCATCATCCAATCAGTTTTGGTGCCTTTTCCAGCACTCCCACGATAGTAAACCAATGTTTTCTTGAGGCCAATGCATTCATTTCCTTCTCCTCCGTTTGAATAAACTGGCTTGTCAATGCCCGTCGCCTTCCAAAATCCAGACCCTGTAACCCTATTTGGCCTTATGCTGTTCTTGTACTTCCTCCCTCTCCTGCAAAAAAAATACCATTCCTTCTCTCCAGCCCCACCACCGTTGCTGCAACTGCCATCTGCAAACCACATAAAAAATTTAAATAGATGGATTGGATAAAATTTAATTCATATATTGAATATCCAATACTTACAGGGGAGATCCCATGGGTTGTGTTTGTAGATATCAATCTGCTTGATGAGTTCGAGACTGATGGGTCTCYTCTCAACTTTTCGACGAAGGTAGAAGCTCACCAATTCTTCGTCCGTCGGGTGGAAGCGGAATCCCGGCAGCGGCATCTCGTTGTCGCCCTCGCCGTCGCAAACTTCTGGAGTATCCATATCCATCGTCCCTGGCTTGGCCGTGTCAAAAATGTTTCAAGACATGAAGTTTGAAAATAATGCCAAAATGTTGTCATGGGTTGATGTTCTTATAACAATATTAATAATAAATTGTAATTAGGATTTGGGAGGAAGGACAAAACCGGGATTTTGTGAGGTCAAAGTCACAGGGTTTGACTCTGTAATTCGGTGATGGATGACTCAAGACTCAACCATTTCGCTCCACTCTTCTATCTTTCTGACGGAGAGATTTGGTCGAATTGCCATTTTGGACTTTTTTATTTATTTATTTTTTCCTTCTTCAGCACATGACATCTTTTAAAGGGAATTTATGGCTTTATTTGTCTTATTCACTGTTCATATCACAAATTACTTTCTTACCCTTTGAAAAACTTGTATCCATGCTTTTCTTTGCTTTCTAAAATTGACATTTCATCTCACCTATTTTTCAAATTAGTTCAACAACAATCCTTTATGCTTGAGTTTTCTTTATCTATACATTATTGACAAATTTATTACATATTTTAAACCATTTTAAATCAATAGCTAATCGAACAAATTAGTCCTTGATGATCATATTACTCATTAGGGGTGACATTAAACTCCATGAGTCAAGACAAAGATCAATGAATTGAGCTCCAAAGAATTGAACTCCCAAATAGGACCACAAGGATGACTAACCTAAGGATTCTTGAGGCCAAAAGGACTAAACTCACGACGACAAATGCCCATGGGTCGACAAGACCATATAGTAGCTAGGCTGGTTGCTTTGCCTAGGACCATGTGTCCCGATTGATTGTCCAAGAGTCCTCRCCCATCTTATACCGACAAATTGAGAGGCTGGCACCCGCCGACCAATCGAACGAGCCAAGGGTATCCTAAACACAGGATTACATCAATTATTGACTAATTGTGCTGTTAAATTCAAGATCCAATAATCTAAAGGGTTCAAAAGAAATAGGTATAACTAAGAAACATAAAGCTTTCACTTTCACTAAACAGATCTCGTAATCAAGGTACACAAGAAAATCTTAATTCTTGCTATATTTCGTACCAATTGAATTCTAACTTAAATATTAGAGTGCATGTGATTAGCAGTAGTATTGAAATTTTCTTTCGAAGATTTACCCAATTTATTATTTAAAAAAGATTGGTGCCTCATTACGCATCAACCTTACTAACCCGCAATGTAAGCAAGGTTTTTTACTATAATATTGGGATTCAAAAGTACTTTATTTGTTAAGATAAATAATGACTCGATTATTCCTAGATAGAATAAATGTGTGTGTATATATAAAATAGTTAAAATACAGCCAGTGAAACAATTTGTGTATATGCGAAAATCAAAGGATATACTTTTGGATTTGTGATTATATTTTTTTTCCTTTTACATAATCTTAAATAAAATAAAATAATCATAATAATCAAATAAAAAACCACCAATTTGTGTTATTTTAAATTTTGGTAAACAGGTAAACAGTTTTAATTTAAAACCAAATTTTATGTTACTAATTAATTAGATAAGACTTACATCATCGCCAGCTGGCTCAATTCCTTCACACTACAATTTGCACTTTTTCCCACCTTCGATAGTGAAAAGTTGATAATACCGACTCTTATTATTCACTTGTTAATTTTTGTTTCTATCTAGTGTGTTTAATATCACACTATATGAGAAAGAAAGAAATTAAATTTGTAAACATGATTAAATCACAAATGAACTCAAAGGTTTAAGTTGATAGATTAAGATAAATTAAATTAATTCTTAGATATCTAATATTTCCCTCGCCATCTGTGAACTTGAAAAATTGTAACAATGAAAATTAAGGAAACAACAATATCGAAGCTTGAACGCGCATGATCTCCATAAATCAAAGGCTATAGATGTCTCAATATCGAAAAATTATAACGATAAGACATCAGACACTAGATTGGGATGTGACATAGTAGGCAGGTCGGGTCGGGGCATGGAGTTGCATCTTTCCTACATGGGTCACATTTAGATTTAGTGTTGGGCACTCTAAAACTAAAAGCATGACTAATTGAGGCTTGATGTGATCTTGCCTTATTGGACCTGTTCTCCACCCTATGGACTCCACAATTTTATCATCTCTCTCTTTAAGTCTTAGGGCCAACCTACAAAGTATCTAAATTTTACGGGTCTTCATTATTGCTCGTAGTATTTAGGTGGCGACGTATATTTAGATAGTTGCGCTTGTTGGGTGTGGTTGTAAATGCAAACAAAATTCCACATTAGTTAAAGAATTAAAAGATGCTCTATTGTATATGTAGGCAATGATAATTATCTCGATGGATATGAAATTTTTGGATTAGACTAAATTGTTATTGTTTTGGAGATAAAAAAACTAATTGTTTGACTAAAACTTTGAATATGATAATTATGAAAACAAAACAAAAATTTAGCAATTAAGCACCCAAATGATATTATGTATATTTGATTGATTGATGCAAGTGAAAAGGGGAGGGAGAAAAATGGAGGTAAGGGAATTAATGCAATGAAAATGGTATTGAAAACATATATGCAAAGGACTGAAAGCCACCCAAACCGTACAAATCTGTATTTTCTATCTTTGAGACTTTTTCTTTTCCAAACGAAGAAATTAATGCGGACCAAATAATGACATTCAACTTATATGAAGTTGCGTGGAAGATGCAACAAACTTTTTTATATGCACATATATATATATATATATTAAGAAACTTATAATCGCCACACGAGATATTAACTTTTTTAATTATGCTCAAATTGACATAAAAGATATACCAACTAACAAATTTTGTTAAGTTCCTGCGAAATCGAAAAGAAAAATTTAACCATTTATCAAAATAAATCTCTCAAATATATATATATATAATGCACTTTACTTTTCTTTAGCTTTGTTTTCTACCCGGAATTGTTAAGTCATGTCAAATTATAGCTCTAATTGGTATGTTATTATCAATATTTAAATAACGGTATTTATGACAAAGACTTTATTAGAAAAATAGAAATCAAATCGATTTTATTTTTTTAATTTAAGGACTTAATATAACACAACTATCAAAGTTCAAATACTAAATCTATAGTATAATGGTGTTTATTTCATTTTGGCATCTTCAACTTTTAAGTTTATTTTATATTTTAGTCCTTAAGCTTTCAAATGTTAACAATTTTGATCCTTACCATTATTTTGCCATCTACCAATATATACATCCGATTTTTGTTTTTAACCAATCTATGTGACTCAATTATATGCCCAAACATCACACGTTAGCACAAATATTTGAAGCAACATAATCCAGTTTAACAAAACGAAAGAAACGTAAAGACCAAATTAATGGTTATTTTTTAAAAGTTCAAAATTAAAATAAAAGTTTTAAAAGACTATAAACATTAAAATAAAGTTAATTTTGAAATTTAGGGATCATAGAATTATATTCTTTTTAATTTAAAAAATTATAAAGATATTTTGAAAGTCGAACAAAATAAAATAAGTTTAAAAATTTAGGAATAAAACGAAATAATTCTAAAAGTTCATAGAAAAAATAAAGGTCAAATTACAAGTTAAGTACTTAAACTTCAAGAGTTGTCTAATTGACCCGTAAACTTTAAATAATATCTACTAAGTTTCTTAATAAGTCCCCGAATTTTAAATTTTGTTTTTAATAGGTTTATGTCATATTCAAATATGTAGATCTATTAGACATAAAATTAAAAGTTCATATAGTCTATGTAAGACATTGTAAAAAGTTTGTGAATATCGATACAAAATAAAAAATTTAAGGACTTAGTAGGTACTTTTAAAATTTAGAGACCTATTAGCATAATTGAAAATCTAAAAATTTGTTAAATTTTTTTAAAAGTTGATGAACTATGAAAGATAATATTAAAAGTTAACTTAATAGTAATTGATATATACCTCAAATCTCGTGATTGTGGGTTCGATTCCCCGCCCTTTCGTTAGTGATAACAAAAATAATATTAGAATTAGAAGTTCAAAGATAGGAAACTTGTAGTTTTAAGCCATGAAAATGAAATTGAAAGGCCATTATATTTATTATTTCTATATGTTAAAATATAGACTTAATTTTTGAATCTATTTTACATAGGTTGGGCCAAATGTCCAATGTCCAAAAAAAGAGAGAAAAATGTACAAATTGTGACATTGACATGAACCTATTCCCATTTATTGGGAGGAGAAAAAGTAAGCACCACATTTTTTAATTTCTTTTTTTTGAAAATAAGTAAGCACCACATTGTTTCTAGACAATATTAAATATTTACACAAATGCCAGATTTAATGTCTGCATTTGCATTCTCCTATTTTCAAAAGGAATGTTCGTGGTCGTTTTGAATTTGTATGTTGAAATTTTCTTATTTGCAAGAGATAATTAAGACTCTTGAATTAGAATTTTACTTGCTATATTGATGAAACGTGTTACTTAAAAACTTCTAAATACTTTTCTTTAATGGTTTTAATTTCCACCTTAAATATGTCAGCCGAGTATAACTCACTCGTCAAAGAATCCTAGAAAAATAACATTTTTCTCCAATTTTTATCCTTTTTTAATAGGACTTTGTCATTTAATTTAATAGAGTTATCTTATCTCGTAATAGATTATAGTAAAAATTCATTAGAGATATATGTCAATTACTGCTGTTCACAATCTCTTGGTTGGAGATATATGTCAATTACCGTTGAGATATGCTTGCTTTGGCAATACCAATTACCACTTTACTATATTCATGTTGGTAAAATTATATTTAAGTTGTCAAATATAAAACTTAAGTTAAGATATGTTAATTATATGTTATAAAATCTCTCTCTTTTTCTCTTGGAGAAGACTTTTGAAATAAATAGATTCTCTCAAAGACTTTGGAATAATGTACATATTTATCTCTCTCTTAGAGATTATGATTGAAACAATAAGAGCCTCCCCATAAATGTTGCCCTTAAAATTGTCAAGACCATAAATGAAAGTCCAAATCTATGTAACACACAAAATGTCAAAAAACTTCGTATCAAATCAATAAAAACACAATTATATACCGACCCTTACAAGTTTATTAATT